AATGGGTTGCCAAAGGAGATGGTGGAGTCACCATCTCTGGACGTGTTTAGAAAACGGTTGGAAGTGGCACTTCAAGAGTTGGTTTTGTGTTAGGGTGGCGTAGGTTGGACTTGATGATCTTAAAGGTCCTTTCCAACCTTTATGATTCTATGGTTCTATGATCCGTGCTGGGGAAGGTCCTATGGCAGAGTTACACCATTTGCATGTATCTGTGCTGGGGCATACGTGCAGATGGGGCTTTATCTGACGTTGCAGATTCCCAGGAAAACATGAGGAGCTGTTGGGAACACGGGGGATGTCACCACTACAGTGGGACATCAGGAGGGAGAAGCTACCAGGACCAAAGACATTTTTCCTTTTCTTTCTTTTGAATTTACACTGCTTTTCCGAGACTGATGTGTGTCCTGTACTGGCCTTGTTTCTATCTACTGCTTTATTAGTTTCTCAGACTTCTTTTCCAAAGTATAGTACTCAGTATTTTAAATAATACTGCTTTAAGAGTGATGGGTAAGGTAAAGAAACAAAGAGAACTCTCATAGTTGCCCCAACATGGTAGAATGAGACAGATTTTCAACATTAAAATCTGAATGTTAATTAGATTTTATTACATTGTTGTTTTCAAAGGCTTGATGTTCTGAGGAAAAAGATGCTTTTTTTTTTCTGATGGCGTAGTGTGCTACAGAATGGGCTCTGTAGAAGAAGAACACAGAATGTGAAATGGCCTGATATAAAATGTCCTCTAATTGAAACACCTTTTCCGAAAGCAATTTAGGTATTACAAAGTAATGTTATAAGAGGGGTAATTAGAATGTGGTCTGAGGCAATTGGAAGCCTAGTTCAAATAGTCCCTTGAAACATCTTAGGAAAAAATTATTATAATCTTCAGAGAACACCAGCATACTGAAAAAACATATATATTTCTGAATTTCAAAAATATAAGAATAAGGAAAGCCTTTAACAAAAAAACCCTCACCCTAGCTTTAATTGAAATGGTTCTGACATGGTTATTTTAATCTGAAATTTAAGTGGTTTTGCCCTTATTTGGGCCTATAAAGTAATTTCTTTCCTCTGATTTATTTGGAGAAAATGTGATTTTTTATTTTATTTTGGTAACTGGTGTGTTCTTGCAGTCAGTGCAAGATTGAAAACTATATTTTCCCATTAATGTTAATGAGAACAATGAGGCAAATGAGTTAAGATGTACCTGATTAATCCTCATTTTATAAAAATGCAGACTAGTGGTCTCCTGTTCATTCATGCTTGCCTCAGGGTGGGAAGGTGTTCAAATATTCCACCCGATATCCTCCAAAATTTTCTTTTGAAGCCCCACTGGGAAACAGAGAAGTTGTGTGACACAGCTCTATAAGAGCTGTTTTAAGGGATGGGGGATGTTCCAGGGAAACAGAGGGTTAGAGCGCTATCCAGGCAGTTCGAAGCACATTGACAGTTTAAAATGTAGCACCAGACTTTTGATTATGGTTTTGAATCTCTCAGAGTACTATAGATTTGTACTTAGCAGCGTTTAATGTAAGCAGGAAGGTTTTATGTTGGCTCAAGGGTGTTTCCACATGACAAAACTGTCCTGTGCATCTTTGTGTAGCTCTTGCTAAGGCAGCACACGGGTATGGCAGTGATCCACCTTAGAGTTATGGTGCCCTCTGCAAACAGTTCAGGAGAAAAAAAACAGCTGAGGCGCTTCCGAAATGAAGTTAAGCTGCCTTTCAGGGGAGACCCCTCAGTCCCATTTACTTCCGTTAACAGGTGCAAAGTATACATGTTGTCAACCGTGGTCCTTCTGGAAGTGTCTGTCTGAGAGAGGTCCGTCACAAACCGTGTTCTATCAAGTATTCCTACCCCACATAAATAAGAAAGACATCACAGACAGGAGACGGCGAAAGGCAGGAAGGTGTGAGGCTGTGCAGCTGACCTATGGAATATATTTTCCTCTTCTAAAGCAGTTATTACACACAGTACCTCTAAGGGAGGGAGAGAGCTCAGGAAGAGATGAACGATCCATATTAAACCTTTATGATCTTTAAATTACCTTTAATTTACAAAGTCCGGCTGAATGGAATTGGCAGGCCTGACAGACCGCGTCGTACAGGGTCAGCACTCTGGAATTACTGTACTGGAAGCCATCGTTAGTGATCTAAATGATACAAAAATCATCCTTATAAGTAATAATGTTCCATATGGAGACTGTCTACTCTTTTTGGAGCCGATACTGTTGCCCCCTTGAACTGGATGTTTGCCAGCAAGATAAATGAAGCCACCTGTGAGTGGCTCTACTGCAAGCTAACAAACTACTTAATGCTCTAAACTGGAAACTATTCATTAATAACCAAAAGATCTTTTGGCTCAGCTGACATTCAACTTTTCTGATTGCTGTTAGTTTTTTTCTGACGATTTTTTTCCAAAACCTTTATCGAAGGTATACTCAAGTACTATAAGGGGGTCTTTCAAGGGGTTGTGAAATGAAATTAAGATTTTTGGCTAAAAATCAGGACCCCTTTCTTACTAATGGCAAATCAGTAAGTAAACTGCCTGGCATAAAAAAAAACAACACAACACAAACACAAATAGAATGTGTACGATATAGGTGATTTTAAATTAACCTTAAAAAAAGTGCTTGGATGAATAATGCCAGAGGGCAACAGTCTCTCTTCCATGGGAAGGTACTTTAGAACCATCACCTCCTGTCCCAGCTCACAAGTTCTGTACATGTCAGTAATTTAGAAAACCTTGATTTAACGTGGCATATTTAATATATGAATGCTTAGAAGTAAGAAAGAAAGGGTTAAGAAAGTTTACATTTTAGTTCTTCTAGAACAAAAATGAAAAGATACCAGACTAATGTGGAAAAGGTTAGCTTTGGAGAAACGTTGTCACACCTCTCAGGAGGTGTGAACGTTAAAGAACACCCCAAAACACTGCCAAAGGCCATGCTGTAAACACTAACGAGCACCAGCAGGAAAGCAAAACCCTTTCTGCCAGCTATTTTATAGGGTTTGGCTTCTCACAGTCAAACTGTTCAGCAAATCTAACAAGGCCTTTGCTTCGGGTTGTTCAGGTACCCCTCTGTCCTCCTGGTAAAGAAGCAACCTCAAGCCCTCCTTCATCTCATCTGTGGCCCCAAAGCTGAAACATCCTCAATCCCTATTACATGGTCAGAAGTATAAAATTTTTGTCAATTAATAAACTATTTCAGTTCACAGAAAGAATGAGTGCTAAGCTGGGCAAAGATAACTGGAAGTAAGGAGTAAGAATTAATACGTTTCATAAAAAGCGCCAATTATAAGTTCACTAAGAATGATCTGAAAGCTCATAACACAGCAGACACTGCCACAGTACAACATGGGATGGTTCTCAGATCGAAATACACTGTGAGATAAGAGTGTTTGTGTCTGCAGAAGCCAGCACAAGGAGGTAAACAGGCAGTGTTCATGGATATTCAGGATTTGAAATGGTGGAAGAGAAATGACTTCTTTGGACTAATTGAAATTAGTCCAAAAAACCAGTAAAATTAATTGATCCAGTAAAATTTATTGGTGTAGCTTTAAGGAAAAACTTATTTTTCTCCTGGGCATCATATGCAGTTGAGATATTAGACTTTTGTGTGTTATACTAGAGGCAAAAATCCTTTTAAAAGAAGTAAAAAACTTATCCTGCAGTTTGAGAAGAGAAAAAAAATTCAACACGCAACTCAGCTCAAGACCTGCTCGTCACTGAAAGCCAGTGCTTATTGGCAACAAGACTTCCACTGAGAATATATTGTTCCTAATGCAATTTACATTTCATTTAATTCCATTCTTTTACCAGAGCGTCCAATGTTTTCTCAATACTGGTGCAGTAATAATGGGTGAAGAAATTGTAGGCAGGGAAAAATATAAAAAGCTGTAAAATTGCACTAATTGTTCTGTCTGAAGGGAGCATCATGAATGAAATGTAACTCTTGCCAATTTGATTTTTTGTGTCTGTATTCTTCCACATTCTATTATAAACATCCATTTTGGTTTCTTTTTAAAATTGGGTTGTTTTATAGCTTTTTTTAATTGCTTTTCCATTAGTGACCTTAGTGATGTGAAACAAATACTTCGATGAGACCTAAGCTGAGCAAACCTCTCTTTGGTTGGCCCTTAAAAGCCAAAGACGTGCTTAGTGTTGTGCGCTGATGGCTTGAACAGACACAGCATCTAGAAAGAAAGAGCTGCTGCTTCTGGAGGATCGGTGAGGGCAATCAGGGAGTCTGTCACTTCTGCCTGAAGTATTTCATTCATCACGAAACAATCCTGGCTATTTGTATGACTCATAATCTTACATGCAATTTGACTCGGCTGAATGTCTGTAAATGAAAAATGAAAGCTGTAAAAACTTACTGAATTCAAATTCGGTTTCTGCCTTGCTGACTTTTTAACAAATATTTTTCTCTGCTCCTTACAAATACAGGCAATGATAACAAATAGAGGATAAGCGAGAGACCTTCTTCCCAAATTAGATAAGTGCCTGCCAAGTTCTTTCACCTCTTCACCCAGGCATCTGTGTGGACAGCCCAAGTCATCTGCCTCCCAAGTAGGACTTTGTGTTTTGATATCTAAACTAATTATACCAAAAGCTCTGGTGTAGCCCCATGTACTTTCTTATCTGCATTCGGCAGCATGTCATGGAAAGAATGAGCAAAATCTGAAACATGAATACAAGAGCAGATAAAATGAAAGAGCACCAAGAAGAGCTTGTCAAGCCTCTGTTCCCACAACGTCGGTAGTGAAAAACATTCCCATGAAAGTTTGCTGAAAATTGATTTGGGAGGGGGAAGAGATTCTGAAAATATTAGAGAGTGACATTTCCAGAAAGAATTTTGATCTTTGGTTCCAAAACATCTTTTACCTACATTTAAAAAATATCTATTAACATAACCCAAAAGATCAATGTTGCAGTAAGTCTTATCAGGAATTTTCCGGAGCATGAATTTTTGAACATCTGTGGAATTAGTTTTAAATCACCTTTTATCTTGAAAAGTTCTGTCATTTTGTTCTCTGTGCTGCCGTGTAAGGCCAGCTGCCTTTGAAACAGCACGGAGCTCTGCCTTCCCAATTCGATCAGCAAAAAGATCCACAGGAGAACTAGGATTTGCAAAAAGATCCACGGGAGAACTCGGATTCACATGTGGACTGAGGTGATTTAATTGTGCATTCGCCACGCAGCCATCAACATGTTTTTTCTGCAGGGTTTGAAGGAGAGGGAAAGTGCAGAAGGCTTACTGGTGCAGAGGTTCTCTTGAATAGAGAAATTCTAAATCTGTTTTGAAGGGAAAAAATGAGAAAAATTGTACAGACCTCCTCAGGGCTGGAAGGCAGCACTTGAAAACAAACTGCATTGTAGTACACCTGGCCAGCGAGGAAGCTCTCCTGGTCACACTGGAGGAGCAGCCCTGTACATGTGCAAAATTACTGGCTGTCTTCTTGAGCCAGGAAACTCAAGGGTGTTTACTTCTCAGATCCTTCCATCGTGAGACAGCATTTCATCTCACAGTTGGCAGAGTTCAGTATCACTTTTTGGAGAAGTTTTGGAGCCCTAAGCAGAGGAACTGCTCTGCTGGTTCAGCCTTGGTGTCTGCCCACCCCAGAAGGAAAGCCCAAGGTTCACCCCAGCAGCCAATGGTCAGGCTCTGCTCCCACAGACATCTTACGCTAATCTCTTAAAACACAGATACTTACCCAATTAAAATAAATGACTGCCAAACATCTTTCTGTTTCCCCTAAGCCACATGGCAGCACATGTCCCCAGTCTGGGGTGTAGACAGCTGTGATGTGCAAGACAGGCAGCATCACCGCTATGAAGTGTTTCACGCATTTCATTTTTACGTGACACAATTTTCAAAGCACATCTGCAGTCTTCCTATAGTGGCAATACATTTTTCTCAGCTGTTAAGCCTTTGAATTATCTCAGCCTTATACAAACCAACCAATCTGCAGAAAATAACTATCCAGGCTGAGTCCAAGACTAAGGGTAGCAGTAAGGCACTGATTTCCTAGAAATATTTAGAAAATAGGTATCGTTTTGTGAACAAAAGATGCTAAAACTGCAGCAGAGAACTTGGCATGAGCAGGTACTACACACACTTCTTCCTGCAGTCATTCAAGATGAAGACCATGACTATGACATCCCTGCTCATACCAAGCCAACCCTTACCTGCTGCCCAGGAGGCAGCCAGTGATCTGATCCTGCTCTGCACAAGCATCGGTCTTGCGACCAGGGCATCAAAGCTTTCTTGTACTTGCTGCCTAATCAGAAACTTGGGCTGGGGTTTCCAGAAGTGAAATAGTAATGGTTTACAATTGGTTAGTACAACTGCATCAATCTCAGATGATTACCTGGAGAAGGGACTGTGATTTGCACTTTTGGATTGCCTACAAAGACACCAGTTTTAAAGTCGTATTGTTTTAGTTTGTGTGGGTTTTGTTTTTTGGTTTTTTTTCTTCGCCTACATGACATTGATGTGAGTATTTCTACAGGCATTTTCATTTCTAAAAGGAAGCAAATTGTGCTTTGCATTTTAATTTGCCATGACAACTGATTTTCTCCTAAATAATTTCTTAGAAACATAAGAAATTCCTACTTTCACTTGCCATCTTGCAAATGGCTCATCACCGGCCACAAAATGCACAGCCTCTGTCTCTGTAATGTTCAGGAGAGGAATCTGGCAGTCAACAGCCTCAGAGCTGAGAAAATCTGCTTTTGTGGTTTCTTGTTCTCTTGATATCCATTCGCCATTGAGATGCTGCAGTAAAACAGAAGGACAGCGCAGAAACTGAAGGCTCGTATAAAGAAATTCCAGTTGCCAACATATGTTTATATTTCTAATTAATAATATAAGGCATTTCCAGATGGTTTATTTAAAAGAAATGATGCTGTTGCCATAGCCACAGCAAAGAGCAAGCCACGCTCGTCTCTGCATGCAAATGGTCTATTGACTTAGGAAATGCTATGATCTCTGTGCTTGGGATGAGGAGCTGGGCTGAGACAGGCTGATGCAGTAGAGCGACTTTGCGTTTGCTCCTGAAGCTCTTGCCACCAGCTCATTGCTCCTTGAAGGCCACGTCAGCCACTCACCTAAATCAGGTGCACAAGACATCGCTGTTTGTTAAGAGCCTGTGGAGCCCTACATGGGCACGGCAGGCAAATCTCAGCTGTGCCTTGTTAGCACGTTAGTGCTGATTGGAAATCAGGCCGAAGGTCTTTTATGAGGTGAATTTATGAGATGAATCAAACACTTCATATCCAAGTATGCTGATGCACCAAATAATTTAGCCCTAGCATTGCCTTTGTAGAGCTGTTTATAATAAAATGATAGTGATAGCAGAAGAGATGAGTTTAATACTCATTAAAACTTCTGATTTGGTATTGAACTATAGCTAAGAAAACTCAAATAAGAGCCTCTGTAACTGTATTGAGGAAACTTTATATCTGACCACAGAACTTAACATTCAAATGTATTTAGCAAAACCATCCACCGTACCAATTCCAGATGCACAAAATGAGAAATAATATTGTGATTTCAGGCTTCACGAGATGATAGTGCAGCTGAACCAAACGAGTTAAATAAAACCCTACAGAGAAAACGAGCAAGAATGCAGAGCTGTGCATCTCTGAGGAACCAGCCCTGGAAAGAGCTGAGCCTCTTCAGCTGCCCTCGCTCGTAGCAAATGTATTGGCAGTGGGTTTGAAGGTATTTGCACCCTGCTGTCCACTGAGAGATGATGGCACAGTTCAGGGTAAAAGACTTTAATACAAACATCGCAAAGTTTGACTGTATCATTAGTATTTGCTGACCCCATGGGAAGCTGCTTACAATGAATCTGGTGACCTCGCAGTGCAGGTTGGGTGACTCTTGGAAGCCGAAGCCGAATACCCGGATCCTGCTGCAGTCAGAGGCACGGACATCGCAGAGGCCCCCGTTCTCTAAGGCTGTGATTTGCACTGCTTGCTCTGAAAGGGTGAGAAAGACAGAAAGCTTTAGAGAGTAGCTCTTACATGCTGTTCTGATTTATCAGAGATTTTGTTGTTGTGGCGGTTTAATTCTTTTCCTCTGAATCTTTCTTGTGTCCCTGTGATTTGTTCTTGAAAAGAGGAGCCGCAGTTGTCAAAATGGGAAGTGGAAAACTGCCATTAAATAATTACCCTGTGCACCCACTACTGCAAGGTGTATCGGTGAGTGTTATATGGCTCATGGAACCAGTTAACCAAAGCTGCTGCTTCATGTTAAAAGGTTTCCAGTGGTAATACTTCTGCTGACCCAGTTAACAGGATGGGAGCACAGCTGAGAGGATAGGGTCTCATCCCATAGTATAGAGAAGTATGAGAATAAGAAGTGCAAGTATCTGAATGTGACCATGTCACCGGGCTCCTCATATTGTGAAGCAGCAGTGCAAAAGACAGTCCTTTTATAAAAAGCTACAGATGCAATAAAAGTAATGATCCTCAAAGGTGTATGCTTGCTTGCGAGGGTTAAGTCATTAATGGGCAGCACTCAGCTCTGCACAGTGTCAGCACAAATTTCATGCACCAGCTAAGTTTCACTTAAATCCTATTTTGAGGCCGTAAGTAGGGCTTAAGTGATGTACAACCTGTGCTGCCCCCCTTACAAGGTTGAATTTCACCCATTACTGCTTTTAAAATGTTTTATGATTGTCAAGTGAAGTTTCATTTGTGTTCTGTTGTACTTCAGGTATTCGCTGTTTAAAATTACTCATGGCTTTCATACTAAAGTTATTTTCACAGAGTAAAAATGCAAGCTCATTGGGTGAGCAGAATTCACATCTTTATGAAAAATATAATTAGCCAGATATTTGCATTGGCACTTGGGTAGCAGAACACTCAGAAGGTGTGGAATATCTCATGACAGTAGCAGCAGTCAGTCAGTCAGGATCACAATTTCATATCTGTGTTGATAATATTTGTAGTTCTAATAGTCAGGAGAAGCCACTACAATGACAAGTAGCACAAGCAGAAAATTTACTTTTCTCCCTGAATGACACTTAATAGAGGGGGCATGACTGGAAGCTTTCAGAGTCATATCATATGTCAGCATAGCACAGTGCGAGGTGTTTTCCCTGTTACGTGGTGGGGAGAGGCTGCTTAGCTTTTCCTCCTCCCTGCCTTGTCACCAGTGTTCTGGCAAAGTGCCATTGCCCATCGGTTTTGTGTACTTTTTCTAGACTAGAAGCTCGTTGTCACCTAGTATTTTGGAGGTGCACTGGTTCAGCTCTGATTCAATGGGCAAAATTCCATAACCTGAGTTCCTAGTTCCTTGCTGTTCCTTTAGGACTCTGCCATTTAAGTTGTAACTAGGGTTAATCTATTTAAAAACCACATTCCCATGAGACTGCAGCCTATAGCAACAGAGATGCATGACTTTTTTTTTTCCCAGAGAAAGGAAGGAAAGCAACATAAATGTGAAAAACAGCTAAAAGACTTTTTTTTCTATACTTCTGAAATTCTTTCAGTTTTTCTTTCTGTTTTGTTTTTTTTTTCTATTGATTTTATTGCACCAGTATTAGCAGCACTGTTGGACAGTTTGCAGTATTTACAAGAAGAGAAATGGTTTACAGCCTGTCAGCATTCATCAGTTAGTTGTGGATTCCTGTAATGCACAAAACTATTAGTCAGATATAGTGAATGGTTTTGATAAATTGCCTTCTTCTGTGGTTAGTGCATAAAAATTAAAAAAGAAAATGCTTCATTATGTTTTTCATGAGATTTTAATAGTTAGCCCCACTAGTACTGAGGCAGCTCCAATTGCATTAACATTTTCATTATCTTTGCAGATTTTTAGGCTTCTGTGGGTGAAGTAAAATCTCATAGTCTGGGAAGGAGCGAGGCACAGAAGTGCGCTTCTGTAGCCGCTCTTCTTCCAGGAAGGCAATCTCAGGTTGGTTGCTGTTGATGAGCCCCGCGTGCTTCCCTGAGGATTTCCTCACATCTTTATGAGCATCCTGATGCTACCGTGACACCGTTGTGTCAGGGCCAGGGCAAGATTATCCAGCCTCATTGCTTTTTGAAATGACTTGCGGTATCAGCACGGCATTTCGTATTTATTTCTCTTGACCCATTCTGTACACACTTTTTGTGCAACATCTCCAAGTTAATCTGAACCTGGAGGAAATATGTCACTACTATGTGCCTTGGATATCTTCTCTCAAAATTTTCCGTGTTGTGGGTTAATCAGGGTGAAGATAAGACTACTTTCTCTGGTGAAACATTTGTGGAAACAAAACGAGCCTTGTGTTTTCTGGAGTTTGATGAAGGTGTGAGAAAGAAAGAGAAAGTCTGATGGAAGACGAAAGTAACTATGGTGACTCATTTTTAAACAAATCGATACTAGAGTTCAGACCTCAAACCTTGCAAAGAGTCATTCTGTTTATCTAACTGATTTTTAAAATAAGATAATCACATTTAATTAGTATAGGAATTTTGCCTATCTGCTTTTGATGTGGTTTTCTCTCTGTCTTTCCCTCTGCCTTCTAAGTTCGTTGTTTATTAGCCAGTTTGAACTAAACATGGAAGGTGAAATCTCAGTCACATTAGATTTGGAAAAGTCTCGTGACAATCAGTAGCCGGGTACTCACCCATGTAGATCCTGCTCTTGCTTGCTCCTCGTGTCAATGGGTGGGGAATTAATAAGCCTCTGCATGGCATAGGCTCAGGGGCCAGAGAGGTGGAGACAGGAGAAGAAAATATTGGAAAGTCTGTGAAAAACTTAGCAAAAGAGCTGCAAGTATTTCAGAGGAAGATTGGAGAGGAGAAAGACAGGAGCGAAGGAAAGAGCTGGGCAATACACCAAAGGTAAGAGTTAGGGCAAAAGTGCAGGCATCCAGAGAAAGCGGGGTCCTGGAGGATAGGGTGGAAGGCTGATCTCTGTGGAGGGGCATGTGAGAGGCAGGAGAGAAATCTGTGCGAAGTCAGGCAGTTCATGGAACAAGGTTGTGAGAAGTATGATCTGTTTGAACATTAAAAATTTATATTTAGGAGTGTGAATGCCAAGATCTAACAAAATTCAGGACAGAACATCCTCCTCTTTTTCTCTGTATGGCCTATAGGCCAAAAATGTACTTTGACTTTTACTGACAGATTAAAAATTGAAGCTCAGGGTAGCACCTGGGGCTCTGCTGGGTGGCAGGGTGCAGTCATGGCATGAAGGAGACCTGAAGGAGCTGTGTGCTCACATCCACTGGCTCTGACACGGGCATCCCAATGCATTTCTAATGTCTGGTGTGCACCCACACTGAGTAAACATGCCCGAAATGCATCTGTTGCCTGGTAGATTGTCACATTGGGACACTGAAGAATGGAGGTGTTGGGGGGAAAAGAATGTAAAAATCTTTTAATGAAACTGTCTTGGAATAAAAAGGAGAGAGGACTCTGGAGCTCTGGGTTGCATCCAGAAGGCTTCCAGAGCTCAGACTGAGCTAAGGGAGCTATTCTGATTGTTTTGCAGTGCTTGCATTGTGCCTTCCTTGAGAGACAGGGACCCTCCCAGTCCCTCTGCTTTACCCCCAGTAGGAATTTTCAGGAAAGACAAGTTCAGAACTGCTGGCAGTGCTGACAGTATGGTTTCTTTCTGTGAGCATTTACCTGACAAGGAGCACGGGCTGCATAAATGCACAACTGGTTTTACAGATATTTGTTGTAGTGAATTATGTAAATAATAAGTGTTCACAGATATTGAAGTCTTACTGATGGATAGATATGGGTCATGCTGGGTTTCCACTTTTTATTAGAAAAGTATCTTAGCACAAATAAACATTCTTCTGCAGCGTTTGAGAGCTACACGTGAAACTTGAGTCTGGAGCAGCCGACCTGGATTTAAAACTGGCAAGCATATGTCTCAGATAAAGAGAACAAACTGGACTGCCCTTCTTTTCTTGATCCGGGAGATAAATAAGCAACCCAAGTCATGAAAAGCAAATCAAGAACCAGATCACAAGCTCTGGGTATGGTCACAGGTTTTATGAAGAGCAAAAGAAAATTGCCCGTATTGTCCAGTTGCCTTGTGCATGAAATCGCATAGCTGGTTGAGCAAGCTGCTGTGCCAGAGCTTGCTGGTGTGATTGGGGACATCTGGCTATTGCAGCTATGACGGTTTTGGATTAGGGCAGATTGATGCTTAGTTTTCTCACAGCTTGGACAGAGCACGTCTGAGTCTGCCGCCATTCAAATACATGAATAAATACTGTGTTTCTTTGTTTTGTACGTACAGTTATTACAGTAATCATATATACAGCTATTGAATGCATTTTTTCTGGAACTCATGTTATCCATAACCAAAAGCTAATTTGGAAATCGTCCCTAAGAAAAAGTATCTGCAGCTATGTGTTGTTTGCCACCTGTTTTGTGCATCAGTGACCTCCCTGGCTTCTAAGACTGTGTCTGTGACTGCTTCCAACACCAATTCTCAGAGAACCAAACTATAGACCTATGATCTTCAGCTGACATGAAGGGAATCTGTTTTTCCGCTTTAAGAGTCTCTGGTACCCCGTCTGGATTGCAGAAGTGAGCCCTGGGAGAAGAAGGGAAAATCGTTTTGCAAGTGCTCACGGCATGTGAGAAACAGACTGGCTCGATTTCACACTGAAAGCATCCATGTGCTGCAACAATATGACAGATTATTTTTGCTTTAGAAATCTCACTATGACATTTTATGTTTATTTGATCCTTCTATTTTTAAAAGGCTTGCTAGCAAGTTACTTCAGCAGCAGAAAGGCGTGTGCTGTTTGCTGTAAAATGTTAGCTCTTTTCTAGATGACAGTAAAATGTAAGATACAGTTGGGTGTTCGTGGTGCTTACTGGTGAACCAAAGCAGGTCCCAGTTTCAGTCCCTCAAAGGCACTTCAGGGCAGAACCCCTGGCAGCATCTTGCAGCTCCCCGTGACATACTGCAGTGATGCCACTCGAAGGGATTTGGGCATGAGGGTGCTCTTGGGTGTCAT